ATTGTCACTTGGAAGACTACCGCGGGAAGGTATGTAACATGATAAGCATTTGTACATGTAGTGGTCGTGTGCTGTTAAGTCCTAGTATGTTTTTTGAATCTAAATTTGTTTATGTAGTGACATGGCTTCAGTTATACACAGTTTACACTGTGCGTGGCTTTCAGTTAAGAGACAGCATAAATTTACAATGTCATTTTATTGTTTATAGTCAGAGGTTATAACAATGATCACCATTGCTATGCGGAGACATTAATTAGTTTACAGGATGTTAAATCAATATTCTCTGCATACTTGTTCTTGTGGCAGACTTTACATCACAAAAGGGAAGAATACAGTAAAGAGAAAGATCTTAATGTCAGCTGAATAAAATGTGTGCTAACATTTTCTCCCTTCTAAATTTAGGGCAGCTTTAGAGATATGTAATTTGCTTTGGGTAATTCAAACACTTTTCTTGAGATGCTGCCTTCTGCTGTCCATTTCTGCATCATACTAAGCCCTTATTATAGCAAGGGATTTACACCATTGCAGTCGTCCAGTCTGTAGCACAGAGAAATTCTAATGTCAGATGCCAGTAGTCTTGACTTTAACAGTTTAGTAAGAGAATCCCTGAGAACAAAGAAATCCCAATAATCCTGTAATCCCTGAATATCAAACAGTGTCAAAGGGCTGAAGACTAAGGATTCTTGTCTTGTTAATTAATTTTCAAGAGGGACCAACTTTTATACCAAATGAAAGAGAAATTTCTAGGTAATAAAGTGCGGGTTGGTAGGTCAAGCATTGTAGAAAACGATTTTGCAGTAGTGATGTCTTTCTCATTGAATTAAAGTTATTCATCCTAGCAATATTTTTAGAGAAAATGAATGGATAAAGCTATATTTCAGCATCCCTAATGGGAGGCTTGGTGTAGAACAGTTTCCCATAGGTTAAGTTTTACAGTGAGGATGTCTGATCAAAGTCAAGGAAAATATTTCAGTTACTTTTGATGATCTTCAAGCCACCATGCTTAGATCCTTTTCTAGGTTCGTATAAGGAAATACTACATGAAGGCCTGTAGGAAAAAAAAAGATACCTTTTAAAATCTGCTTGTGAGGAATGAGGAAAGCCATCGTGCACATAATCAGTAAAGCTGCAGTACTCCTAAATGTTTCTGCTATATCATATATGCTTTACATAAAGAGGGCTTGAGAAATGGACTACAGCCTGAAATTCACTGCACCATCCTTTTTTTCAGTACCTAAGTCTTCTCCTCCATAGAACTGGTTACTCCAAGTGGATAAACAATATGATGAGAAATGTGTAATAAAACTTGGGATTGAAAGATTCAATTGGCAGAAAATGCATTTGTAAGCAGCTGTTCCAGTAGTTTGTTTTTTATTTACAGTATTTACATAGGACTTTGATATTTAAGACAGTGATCAATATCCAATTTTTTTTTTCCCATGCTTTTAAGCATTAGAGGAAATATGGGGGAGTCCTATCTGTAGAGGAACTAAGGACTGAAGCTTATTGCAGTGACGACATCTTTTGGAATGACTCCAGAATGGTACTTCCACAGTCTTTTGAGTTGCTGCACTCAGAGAACAATGTTTTCTACCTTTGAGATTTACATTAAATATAAATTCAACTGGAACTCACCAGTAAGGCTATCTGTGTTGCAACAAAAGCAAACTACACCATCTGTGATTTTTAACTCTTGGGCATGCCTCTATATGTCTATTTAAGAAGAAAATGCAAAGGAGATTGGTTTGAATCAAACATAAAAATTTAAATATAAGGAGAATGGAAATGACATTCTGTGAAAAGAAAACACTTAACATTAACATTGAACTCTACAAGAAGAAAATAGGCCAATTTAAAATAAGAAAATAGGCCAATTTACAATAACATGCTACTGATTTTTCTTCCTGCTGCTGACACTTTTCTATTCCCCAGTCTCGGTTCACACTCCTTATAGTGGGTCCTCTCTGATTTTTTTGTACTCTTAATGAATGGAGATAGGGAACAGGTACTGAAACACATCCACGTTTCAGAAGCAGAATATATCAGAAAGGAAGATACCAGGACACAGGAGAGGAATGTGCTTGACATATCTACGTTACACCAACTTGAAGAGCTTAACGGGGTCTGGATGTTTTTTTAATGCAATTTTAAATCAACAACAAGAGAATTCATTGAAGGAATCTTACAACTGACAAAAAGTTTCCTTTGTTTGTCAATACTAGCTTGCCATTGAAAGATAACAGGGCAAGACCTAGACCTGTGTCTTGACACTATTAGGGATACCTCTGTAGTCATTGGTGTTTATAAGGCCAGCTTGCTGTCAGTGTACTGAGTGCCACTTAAACTTTAAATCAATTGTCCTGCAGGCCTATTTCTGCTTAATTTGGAGACAAGAGGAGGAATATTCATCATTAGGTGGTGGGGAAAGGAGAAAAGATTTTTAAATGGGTAAACTTTTAAATTAACCATCTTTAATGGGACGGAAAGAAATACAGCCTGAATTGAGGAAAATCTTGAAGTGTCCCAGAGCCAATGGAAATATTTGTTTGTAAGCAGAATATATAAAGCATCATAGATTTCAACCACTTTATTTTTAAAACCTTATGACTAGGCTGTGACTTGAAGCACTATGATGATGATTACTAGCTTTCAATTATGATGCTTTAAACTTGCCATACAGAGCAGTTGGTGGAAATGCTCTCTTGCATAAAAGCCTTTGATCCTGTGGTGGATATTCTTTGACTTGGGTGGGGGGGGGGGAAAGGGACAGAATGAAAGTGCTGGGGAGCTGGGGAAATAAATACTGAAGCCAGCTGATATTATGATGGCACAGCAGGAGCAGTATGTTCCATCCCATTTTGTGATTTAGTTATGGAGAGGCGCTCTTTGCATGGCATTCAGTTGTTGAAATATTATCATCTGCGCATGATTTGCCAGGCGGCTTTTATTAGTGTGCTGCAAAAGAACTTGCTTTCTACACCAGTCTGTGATGTTTCTGAGAGATTTTAACACGTTAAAACTCAAATCAGTAATGCTGTATTTCTATTTAGATGGATTTTTGCGTCCTGGATTATGCTCTCTTTAGGCTTTAATCCTGTGCTTTGATCCGCAGCGCTGTAAGGGTCTACTGAAGAACAATAGGCTTCTTAATTTATGTACACTATTTTATATCTTCATAGCTCTTCTGCTTACCTTCTTCTACTGCCTTCGCTTCATTGCCTTACTGTGTTGTGAAGATGTTAAAAAAACCTTAGTGCTTTAATAACTTTCTAGAAACTATAAAAACATTTAAAATGTAGCTCTGTTTTAAACTTTGGATTTCATTCTTTTTGCAAATGAAGTGATTACTTCCTAGCATCAAAATAATTTATTTGTGTAGCAACGAGCTGAAATACCATCTTGAAACTGATAAGAAATAAATCAAAAAGAACAGGAGGGTACCTAAAGGCCTGCTAGAGACACCTTTACGCGTATAACCCCCAGAACGTCGTTCCCTGGAGAGTTACATAATGGGATTCCTGAAGAGCCAGAGCTGTGTGACATGAGCAGACTGCCAGCATCCAGCCAAGGCAGTCGGGGATCTGGCCCCCACAGTTCGTTCCCATACAGTCTTGTTGCCAAAAGAATGTATAAAAGTGATGCAGAACAATTTCAAGGTCTTTCTAAACATTTACATGAGGTTCAATAATTCTCTTCGCATTGAGCAAAATAGCTGAGATTTGAGCAAGCTGTACTGTGTTACTTTGCTAACAATGTGCAATCTCTTTTGGTTGTACTGGCTTGGGTGGGGTGGGGTGGTTTTTTGTGTGTGTTTTTTTGTTGTGTTTTGGTTTAACTTTTTATCACAGTTACACTATAGCTATTCCCTATGCTCTATTTAGGGCCCTGACTGGGGTGTAACTTCTGTGCAAAGGTGGCTCTAAGATGTCATTGAGAGGAAGGCTACAAATAAACATGGTACTCTCTGGGGCACTCTTTCTAAACTGGCAAAACCTTTTTTTTTAGGCCAAAAAAAAAAAAAAGCCTGGTATGCTCTCTCAAGGGGAGCTGCCAACACTGCTCAACAAGCAACTGATTGGGATTAACAGAAACTTTCTTGAGCGATGTCGGCCGGGCTCCGTGCGTGTTTAACCACCTTCCTCCGTCGGATGGGAGCCGAATGAAACAAGCCGGGCGCTTTGCTTTCCCCTCGGGGCTGGGACCTACCTCGGGCTTCATCTTGGCGGAGCCAAGGCTCGGGGCGGGACAAGGCTAGCTCTGCGGGACCGCCTGTGCCCCTCCGGGGTGCGCGGGGGGGCTTGGGCTGCTCCCCTC